GAAAGAGTGAGACCATCACACATGGGCTTGTCTGTCCCCGAAGCACGGGGTGTTGATGCTGGGGACAGGGATATGACCAGCTAACAAGTCATTTCTCACCCTTAGAGCCCACAGTACCCTACACCCAGCCTGTGTGAGTCACCAAGGCCCCTCCTGAGGACCACAGGTCAACCACAGGCAGCTGGGAAACTTTGCAGAGCACTGAGGTGGTTTCCCTGGGTGGCTTGCAGCTCTGGTGAGGCCGGGGCAGGTGGGTGGGGGTGGCGTGAGTGATCAAGAGGCACAATGCAGGATGCCTTCTCCATCACACCCAGCAAGGCCAGCAGTAGCCAGGGAAGCCTTGGGCAGCCATGACTTGCATCCCTAGGGCCAGGGGCTACATTCACACCAGGTGCTGATACATCCAGGAATCCCCTGGCTGGTCCATCCCCTTCACGCCCTCTCCTATGACTCCTGGCTTGAGCGTAGGGGTTGGTAGAGCAGAGCAGGACCAAGGGACACTTAGAGCAGCCACTGTAAGCTCCTGGTCAGAGACGTGGGTCCCCCACAACGTTCGGTCCCCACCTCCACGATGTGTGATGCAACTGAAACACCTCAGGCTGCAGGGCCTGGGGCTTGCCAGGCCTCAGCTCCTTCTTGCACCAGTCCCTCCACCAGCCAGATGCATCCAGGCTGCTGAGGGGGCAGGGAGCAGGCTGGGTGTCACAGGCTAGTCCTGGTGAGGTGAGGCAAATCCCTGGCAGCTGATTTCTCAGGAAATGACCCTGCCACTCCTGGGGATGCCTGCTGTGTTGCTTATGGCCTAGAAGGCTGCTTCTGAATGAGGCCTTGGCACCTTTTCCAACCACCCATGGGGCTGTGGGCTCGCTGGTACCAGCTGGGCACAGCCCTGGCCTCTGACCCCACCAGGCCAATCAGCTCTTGTATGTTCCTGTGGGCCCAATCCTGGAGCAAAGGGCTGGGCTGGGCTGGGCTGGGCTGGGGGGGCAGGGGCCTGCTGGTCAGGAGTGCAGGACACCAGCAGGATTCACAGCCCCCCAAGTAGGCTTCTAAGGGGAAGGGAGCATGTTAGACCCCTGCATTGACTAGCCCAGCCCGTCACATGGCGCTTCCGACCAGGCCTCTCTGTTCCACAGCAGCTGATACCCACCGTCATCAGTCCAGCTGCTTTAGCCCCTCCTCATAGCTGGTCTTCGCAGGTGGCATGGGCGGCTCCACTGGCTTCCCTGCAGGGTGAGATGGGACAGGCTGGTGGGCTTGGGGAGGGAGGCAGTTGCCCCACTGATGACCTGGTGGCCCAAGCAAATAGCTCAGGTTGAGATAAGAGAGCCCCACGGTCAGGCTGTGGCCAGCAGCCCCATCAGGGAACCCCCCACAGACCCACTAGAGCCCTGCCCTGCACTGCCCACCAAGGCTGTACTTGCCTCACTATGCCATGGACAGACCAGGAGAGAAGCCATCTCTGCATCCTCTTTCTTTATCCATCCATCCATCCAGCAACACCCACCATCTACCCCCACACACATTCATCTATCCATATACTTCTTTCTATCCATCCATCCATGCATTCCATTCTACATTCCACTCTATCTATCCATCCATCCAGCTCAATGTCTCTCTATCCATCCTTCCCCTAGACTAGTGGTTCTCAGCTTTTTTTGTACCAGGACCCATTTGTAAACATCAGTGGCAAGTCCCAACCCAGTGCCTCTCACTCCCAACCAGCTGCCCTGACCTGCAGCCCCTCACTGTGTGGGGTGGGGCAGGGAGGCCCCCAAACAGCCCCTGGCAGGCTGGACCTCTGCTAGCCTGCAAGAGAAAAGCCACGGTTTCCTACATTTTTCTCCTTTAAAAAAAATCCATTTTAAACTTTTGTTTGTGACCCTTTCATATATTCTCGCAACCCACTTTTGGGTCATGACCTATGGGTTGAGAAACACTGCCCTAGACTATCTATCCATCCACGCACTCCTGTTCACACCTATCTATCCATTCATTGTCTCTATCCATCCATCAGTCCCCAGACCCACCACTTTATCAACCCTCATCCATTTCTATATATCTCCTCTGTCCATCCATCTGTCCCTCTGTCCCCACCGACACCCACCATCTGTCCACCTCTATACACATCAGTCTACCTAGGCATCATTTACCCATCTACACCTGCTCTCAACCACCCACCGATCTTACCCATGGCGTTACAGATCATGAAGCACCACAGTGCTGGGGGCCCTGCGGCTGCTTCGGGAACATACATGCCTCCTCTCCCCTGGCCCCAGCACCTGAGGGCTGTTCCAAACACCCCTTTGGCTCCGAAGCAGAGGCCTTGCAGGAGCAAGGCTAGTCACTGTGCAAGGGCACTCTGCTATGACACATCCCTCAGAGACTACGAACCAAGAAGTGCAGTATAGGACCCTCTGCCCTGAACCCTGTTGGCCTTGCAACTTGCTTCCCCAGCCCTTCCCTTCTCACCTGCCCACATGCTTGGCTTCTTTGGCTGCAGTTCAGGCTCTGGTTCCGGCCTGATCCTTTCTGTTTTCTTCCTGCTGGGTGGCTTCTTGGGTTTCTGATGGTGCTGCCTGCACTCAACTGACGGGGAGGAATATCAGGTTGTCACTACCAGAGGCTGGAGGCTGACAGCCAGTGCACAGTGGGGTGGGGATATTTTCTTGGGGTTGGTGGCAGGGAGTGATTGAAGGGGACTGGGTGGGTGAAAGAGGCTGGAGAGAGGAACACGTGATGATGGCAGCATCCAGCACCTTTTGCTACAGTTCCAAAAAGAGGGGCAGAGCTTCAGCATTTAAAGGGCACTGGAATTGCATCTAAAGTTAACTGGAGCAAATGGAGCATTGTTATGGAGCCAGCAGTGAAAACAGGGATTTTTCCTACCTCTAGTAACTTCAAGATTAGTGGTAGGCCTGTGGATTACGAGAAGAGAAGATACACAAATACCAGTCATGGTAGATGTTGGTGAAAAACACCTTGAGAACCTCACAGTAATACTACATGCAATGCTGTCTGAGTGGGGTCTTGGACTAAAAAAAAAAGAGGAAATACCATGTATTCCTCAATGATTTTCTTGCAAATTGTGGCCATGCCATTGTCAGCCATGATTTGCAAAAAAAAAAAAAAAAAAAAAAAAAAAAAAAAAAGCTGAAGATCTTCTGAAGCTACTCAAACCACAAAATGCGTCACCATCACATTTCTGTCTGGTGCTGGTTAGCTATTACCAGAAGTGCTCGACTAACGCAGTGACAAAGTCAGCATCCTATAAATAAGCTGTTATGCTCGTGTTGGTCAACCATAGCTTTGGATAAGACCATGAGGCTGCTGCCGTCTGAAAGGGCCCTCACACACTACATGCATCTCAGCCTATAAAGATGGTTGGTGATGGACCAGGAGCAGCAATGGCAGAGGTGGTAGATCAGCCTGACAGAGCCAGAGTCTTTGTTCCTGGACCTCTTGCTTCTGCAGAATGGAGCTGGGCTCACAAGGATTGAGAACCTCCACGTCTGAGTGAGATGATGTGTTTCACCGCTATCTCCACAGGGAGCAATTTACTCTGGTTAGAGGTCCGCAGCTCCCAAACTAGGGGTCATGACTCCAAACGGGATGCAAGCTATTCTGTGAGCCCAACAGAAACTCACTACAAGATGCAGGACTTGCAGCGGAGGTCACAAGCGTGGTCCCCAGTAGCAAAGTTTGGTAACTCCCAGTGGCAATTCATAGGGGGTGCACAGGGGTCCACATGCACCCCCTGAGAGTGCTCATGCACCCTGACAGGCTGCGCTCCCTGCTTAGGCGATGGGCAAGGAGGGCAAGCAGGAGTGCCGGTGCCCGCCCTGTGAGTGCTGGCCAAGGAGTGGGAGCACCTGGATGAAGCGCCACAGCTGGTAACTCCTGTTATAAGTCAGCTGCTAGTTTTAGCTTCTGACCCAGAGACAGAAACAGCTGCAGTGGCTGTAGTAAGAGTGGAGAGATGATCATGATTTTTGTGCACTGTTGCAGTACAGTTCACAGGCAGCTTCTGGCAACACCATGCTGACAATACAACTGTTGAGAGCAACAGAACCAGTGAGCTTAATTCCTCCATTTCTCCTACAAAACCCCTGACATGGGGAAGCCACGTTAGGAAGCTACCAACAGGAAAAATCCAGGTGCCGTTCTGTTGAAATGGCTGGCCTACGAGATGTGAGCCGGTATTGAGGATACATCCTGTGAAGCTGGCAATCACCTCCTGGCCTGGATTAGTGGTGTGCTGTATACATATTGGCACTCTTGTCTCTGTAGCTATCCATGTCCTCTTGAACCGAAAGGAAGGAGTCTGGAGCATATAGGAAAGAACCCTGTTGCAGAGCCAGCAAGTTCCTAGGTGCTAGTTCAGGTGTTGGCTTTGCTCCGTCATGCCCAAGGTAGTCTGAGCAGTGCCCCTCTCCTCACCCTGTGTTTGAGGGCCATCAGGGAGACAGCTGCTGACTGGACCTTCTCAGGGCAAGGCTGTCCTGCACAGCAGGAGTCTCGTGCCCCCCTGGGGTGCCGGGGAGGGGGCAAGCTGTGGGTCAAGATGGGGTGGGTACAAGCTATGTGTATGCAGGGATAGGTGATCCAGCTGGTCAGCCAGTGGGGCTTACCTCTGTCCCGTTCCCCATATACCTGGGATCGCTCCTCCTCATCATATGGTGAGGGGAGCCTGGAGGGCTCGGCCACCCCGTAGTCATCTTCCTCTCTGGCAGGGGGAGGGAACAGGGGATCCTCAGGCTGGTAATACCTGTCCTTCTCTTCCTTCTCAGGTTGGACAGGGGGTGTTGCCTCCGGCTTTTTCTTTCCTAATGGCTTTTTGGTGGCCTTGGGAGGCTTCTCCTTGGGTTTTTTGGTGGGCTTGGGAGCTTCCTCTTTGGGCTTCTCGGAGCCCTTAGGTAGTTTCTCCTTGGGCTTCTTGGTGGGTTTGGGCGCCTTCTCTTTCTTTTACCTTCCCAGGGGTCCCTGTAGAAAAGGAAAGAATCAGGCTCAGGCCAGTCTCCATGGCTAGGCCTCCGGCCTCTCCCCTCCAGGGCAGTGAGGGACCCGTCCCATCCTATCCCATCCCATTTTCTCTGGTGCCATCTGTACCCTTGTGTAGCCCACAGACAGCTCTACCACAGCTCAGCTAGTCCTCAATGCTCGTCTGCGCGGGACATTTCCCCACCCTTTGGCAGCAACCCTTGCCCATCTCTAACACCGGGCTGTCTACCACCGCCCCCCCGCGCCCACGTGTGGGGCGTGACTACAGGAGGCCGGCCTAGGCCTTTGCGTTGGCCCCGCCCCCGCGCTGATTGGCCCAGCGACAGCCGGCGGGGCGGCGCCCCCTGGTGGCCGCGCTCAGTGGCGGGCCCAGGCATGGCGGCGCCTGG